CTTGTAGCAGCCCATTAGTGTTGAGCAGTTCATTCAGGTCATTTCATCCATTCAGCAAGTGTGCTGAGGGCCCACGATGCGTGAGGCTCTGTTCTAAGCACTAGGAACGACCAGGAACAAAGACACACCACTGCCCCACAGAGCTTCAGTGGTCATTGACAGGAACCACATACACACACACACACACACACATGATAGAGCTGAGTGATGATGAGAACTATGTGATAATAAAAAAGGAAAGGCGATCCAGAGGTCAAGGGCAGATGGTGAGTCACCGTTCTTGTTAAGTGATGTTGAGTTGAGTATGACTCATCGCAACCCTCTGAACAGCAGATGTGAATCCTGTCCTATCCTGAGCCATCCTTATCCTCTCTGAGACAATTGAGCCCATTGCTGCAGTCACTGCGTCAATGTGCCTGGAGAAGGGTCTTCCCCTCCTTCACTGACCCTCCACCTTTCCAAGTGTGATGTCCCTTTCCAAGGAACAGCCTCTCCTAACATGTCCAGAGTACATGAGACGAAGCCTCACCATCCTTGCTTCTGATGACTTCAGATCAACTCCGACTCACAGCGACCCTGTGACCACAGATTGAAAGCTTACCTGATTCTGCATCCTCACTATCTGGGCCATGCTCAAGTCTATTGTTGCAGTCCATCTGTATCAGTCCATCTCTTTGACTCTCATTAATCCTCTACTTTTCCAGGTACAAGCCTTTTTCCAACGACAGGCCTCTCCTGACAACATGCCCAAAGTATATGGGTCTCATCATCCGAAGGAGCACGCTGGTTGCACTTCACCTGAGACAAACTTGTCCTTTTTACAGGCTGGGATATTCAATGCTCTTCTCCAACACCACAATTCAGAGGCACCAGTACTTCTTTGGTTTTCCTTATTGCTGGTGGCAAGAGAAGGGTGTTATTTTTGATGGGATGATCACAGAGGACATTTCTGAACAAAGACTAGGAAGAAAGAGATACTCAGAGAGAACGACGTGAATGTCAAGGGGAGAATGTTCCAGGCACAGAAAATGGCAGATGCTAAGGTCCTGTAGCAGAAAAATTAGTTTCTCGACATTTTTAAGGAGCAGCAAAGATGGTTCAAATGCTCCCAGTGTGTTGATTTTGCCAGACCAGCTCCCTACCACTTGTCTAGTGGAGGGTGGGTGCAAACACGCCTCTTAATCCCTTCCTTCCTGCCCTTCTGAATCCATCTGGTGGCCTCTGCTGGGCCACTGTGCCTTGAAGGGGTCCAGATGGTCAGTGTGGGATTGGGACAGTGAGGACCGAAAGGAACTAAGTGCCACTTATCAGCCTCTGGGGTCCCCTGGGGCTGGATAAGTGAGTGCAGGGTCAGTGGTTCTGACCTTCTACATTCCCTCCATCCCAGCCACCCTGGGCCTGGAGCACTTACAGCTCACTGACCACAGCTGCCCTTCTCTGTCCCCAAGGGATAGCACAGCAGCCCCTCTAGTCACTACCCCAGGACTCACCAGCCCTAGACATCTGCACCCCATACAGCAATGCCCCACCGGGCCGCTGGGCAGTTCACAGAACTTGCTTTCAGTGGTCTCGACATCCTTGTGAGGTGGGTGGGATGAGGTCACCACCTCAGTGTTACTGGTGGACATCAAGGCCTGCAAATGAGATGCAGCTTGCCCAATGAGTCTGGGATGGAGAGAATGCCTTGAACTTGAGTTTCCCCCAAACCTTGGTCTGTTTGCTTGCTTCTTGTCTTCCAAAACAGTTGGTGGTTGCTATATCCTGAGGCTCAGGCCATTACCCTGAATGCCTATATATATATATATATATATATATATATACACACACACACACCTGGGACCAAGCTCTCCAGCGCAGGAGGGGACATGCCCTCCGAGACTCCCGGGCTTCCTGTGGTCTGGGGACTTGGGGACCAGCCAGAAAGCTTCTCTCCATCTCTCCAGACATCCCAATCTCATCTTCGAATCTGCTGGCCACCTCAGCCCCATCATCAGTCAAGGTTTTATGCAGGATGCAGCCCATCTAGTGGGGAAGGGTGGACTAGGAGTGTGTTCTCCCAGGAATGATGGGAAGACAGGCAGGTGCCAGGGGCAGGACGTCTGGCGGTTAAGGGACTGAGGTCTGGCAGCTTCCTTAGATGGTCCTGAGGGCTGATCAGGATAGTGTTGAGATCAGGTGCCACATCTCACTGAACAACTTGTCACAGCTTGGGTCACACGCCATCCCCATTCCTCCATTTTTGAAATGAGGAGATGAAACTACAGATATTTTTAAAATGAGAAATAGACACTGGGGCCTGAAGAGCAGGGAATTTTTAGCTCAGTGCATTTAGATGGAATTGGTTGTGGATGTGAAAGTCAGGGTTTTGTGTTGTTGTTTTTGCTGTGTGCCATCATGTCAGTTCCAGTTCATAAAGCTCTCTAAGACACAACTACATCCGTGGGTTTCTGGGGCTGGAATGTTTTGAGATGGGAACCCTGGTAGCATAGTGGCCAAAGCACTCAACTAACTGCTGACCCACCAACCACTTGGGGCAGGGGACAGGTGTGACAATCTACTTCCTTAAAATTTGTAGCCTTGGAATTTTCATAGTAGCGTTACACACCATCGCAGGAACATGGAAACAGCCCATATGTCCAACCACAATCGAATGGATTGAAAACTTATGGTACCTTCACACGATGGAATGCTCTAACATTCAGGAGCAACTTTTTCAAAAATTAGTACAGAATTTGGAAGGGACTGGAGAGCGTTATGCAGAGTGATCTAACTCAGTCTCATAAGGACAAATACTGTATAAGACCATTATTGTAGGAAGATATCTAGTACAACAGGTATGAGGATCCAAGGAGGGAGAGGGGTAGGAGCAGAGGGATGACAGTGAGCAGAGGGGAGATCATAGGGTCATACAATTTGATGGGTAGAGGATGGGTGAGTAAAGGAAATAGGAAAGATCTGGCAGGATCTGGAAAGATAGGGAAATGGTGGGCATAGTTCAGTATCGATTTATAAAATAAAATGAATGGGAGTGATTGTATGAAACACAATGTGAATGAAGATAATGTGAAAAACAATGTATATAAACTTTGTAAGCAAATCAGTATAAAATATTTCTTTATGAGGATGAGTCAAAATCCATTTGCAAGTAGTTCGTTTTGTCCTGGAATGTTTACAGGGGACAATTAGCAGATATCTTCTCCCACAGAATGGCTAGTGAACTCAAACCATTGACCTTTTGGTTAGCAACTCCTACCACCAGCTGCAAATAATTAGTATGGTGCTGACTAGGAGTCTCTCTCCGGAGGCACAGTCTGTCAAGTGTCTCCTCAATCAAATGACAACATTCTGTGAGGTCAGCATAAGTTTCAGTCTGCATTTAACCCGGAGGAATGTGGCTCAGAGAGCCCACTGGGAGATCCAGAACTGAATCTCAGATGTCGGTTCTACAACGTGGATTCTTGTTCTCTACTAGTGTCTGAAAGAAGGACTGCTGGGGAAAGGGACACAAGGGAATGGGATAAGGTAGACAAGTGAGAGCCCAGTTAAGAGGTCCTATATTGCTATAGCTACAGGAGTGAGGCCATGGGGCAGAGCCTAGCACGGAGGAAAGGGGACAACCCAGGGCTCACTGGAGAGCCAGGAGGTAGAACTACTAAAATTGGCTGCTTCTGGGGTGGGTGGGGACAAACAGCTGATAGGAGAGAGCATCAAACCAGAGGCCCACATTTGGCGTCAGGAGACTGAGAAGAGGGGGTGTGGAGAGGAAGTGGGGGGAAAGCTATGGCTCAAGGGGGCCCAGCACCATCTGCAGGCAGCTTGTTGTTAAGTGCCGTGAAATTGACTACAATTCACAGCAACTCTATGAACAGTAGATTGAAATCTTGTCCTATCCTGCCCATCCTCATAACCTCTGATACATTCAAGCCCATTATTGCAATCACTGTTGTCTATCCAGTTCGTTGAGGATCTTTCTCTCTTTCACTGACCCCCTACTTCCAACCGGGCATGGTATCTTTTTCCAAGGGCCAGCCTCTGCTGACAACATGCCCAAAATATGTGAGATGAAGCCTCACCAGGCCTGCGTCTAGGGAGCACCCTGGTTACACTTCCTCCAAGGCAGCTAGCTATATTTGTACTTTTGATGGTCTGTGGGACAGTCAGCACTCTTCATCAGCGCTACACGTCAAAAAAGGCATTAATTCTTTGGTCTTCCTTATTCAGTGTCCAACTTTCATATGCATACGAAGCAACTGAAAAAGAAAAGCTCATGGCTTGATTCATGCCCACCTTAATTCTTAAACGGGTACGGAAATAAAGGGTTTCAATCTGTCCAGGTTCCCAGATTAAAATCCTGTCACTGGCCCCTTCCTTCCATGTGTTGCTTCAGCATCCAAAACCTTAGTTCCTTTTTCCTGAAAGATATAGAATGGGCACTTGGAAAATAAAAGTCGTGGGCAGAATACTGGTTGAATAGATGGAGGTCATGGCCCTAATTGCCTCAGAGGAAAGCTCTGAAGATACACCATCTGTGCCAAGTGCAGGGCTCATGCAGGGTGCAGAGATTTATTAAGGGGTAACACTTCCTTGGGGTCACATGGGGCCATGTTGTGTCCCCAGCACTCTGCACACTGTTTGTGATGTGCTCACAGCAGCACTTTGAGGTGGCAAGGATTTTCATACTGGATGAGAACCCGGGGGGATAGGACCTTGTAAATGCCTTACAAGGCTTTGCAATTGTGCTGGCTTTACTTCAGTTTCCAAGAGCAGGAAAGGAAGTAGGTGTAAGGCCAGCACACACACCAGGAAGGGTTAGGGAAAGGCTGGCAGGCAAGGCAACCTAGTTCCAAGGCCCCATCCCGCAGGAATGGGAAGCTGGTGCCATTCCCAGCTTGGCAAGGGGATAGTGTTTCCTGAGGGTGGGAAGTACGGAGGCTGGCAGGCTCGGGGGTCTGTGCGTGGGCATCTTCTGATCACTGTGGGCTTCTTTGCTCTCTCTTCAGCCTCCAGCCGCTCCCACCCCGCCAGCCCCAGCCCACCAGGGCCACAGGCCAGCCCAGTGCTACCTGTCAGCTACCGCCTGTCACACACGAGACTGGCCTTCTTCCTGCGGGAGGTCAGGCCCCTGCCACCCACGGTAGCCAACGGCTCCCTGCAGCGCTCTGAGCCCTTCGTGGTGTTCCAGACCAAGGAGCTCCCGGTGCTCAACGTGTCCCTGGGACCCTTCAGCACCAGCCAGGTGGTGGCACGGGAGCTCCTGCAGCCGTCCAGCACCCTGGACATCCCCGAGCGCCTGACGGTCAACTGGAAGGTGCGCGCCTTCATCGTGCGCGCCCGCGTGCCCTCCTCGCAGCCCGTGGCCCAGGTGCTGTTCTACGTGGCCGGCAGGGACTGGGACGACTTCGGTGTCACCGAGCGATTGCCCTGTGTCCGCCTGCACGCCTTCCGGGATGCCCGGGAAGTCAAGAGCTCCTGTCGCCTCAGTGGAGGACTGGCCACCTGTCTGGTGCGCGCAGAGCTGCCCCTGGCCTGGTTCGGACCCCCTGCCCCGGCCGCGCCCCCCACACGCCGCAAAGCCCCGGACGGGCTGGAGCCCGAGGCATCAGGGGAGAGCCAGCAGGCCGAGCTCTACTACACCCTCCATGCACCAGATGCTTCCGGGGGCTGTGGGGGCACCCGCCGGGGAGCCGGGCCTGGGGCGGGGGCCCGGGCAGAGAGCCCCACCCAGCACCCCTTGCTACGCATCGGGAGCATCAGCCTGTTCCGCCCGCCCCCCAGGAGGACCCTGCAGGAGCACCGGCTGGACAGCAACCTGATGATCCGTCTGCCCGACCGGCCCCTCAAACCCGGGGAGGTGCTCAGCATCTTCCTCTACCTGGCCCCCAACTCCTCCTCTCCCTCCAGCCCCAGCGTGGAGCATTTCACACTGAGGTAGGGAGCGAGCCCTAATGCATGTCTCTCACCCTTTGGAGATGGTCTTCCACACCTATGTGTCTCGCACCCTGACCTAGTTGTACAACCTCAGGAAGACACCTTCCTTACTTGAGCCTGGCTGTTCAGTGTTCTTACCAGTCTGATGCAGCAAAATTTCCTACCCGGTGGACTATGGTAAGGGATTGTGCTGCCAACCCAAAGGTATGCAGTTCAAACCCACCAGTTTCTCCAAGAGACCGAAGATGGGCTTTCTCCTCCCAGCCTCTGAAAACCTGCTTGAAGGTCAGCTATGAGTTCCTTCCAACTCAACAGCACACAACAACTTCATACCTCAGAGGCTGGCCATCATGGTAAAGAGGGCCATGTCGGTTTTAACAAGCATGCATTTCCAGTCCTCTAAGAGTCATAGCAACCCTGTGAAAAAGAGATCTGGACCTTACCCTATTCTGAGCCATCCTCATATCTGGAATGATAGAACTGGGGAGCTGTAAAGGACCCTTAGACTTTCGTCACTGTAATGATTCCATTTTACAAATGAGGAGAATAGAGATCAGAGAGGAACTTCATGATTGGGAGCTATAAAGTAAGCAGGAATATGCACAAATGTTAGAATATTTGCCCCAAATCCTAGAGCTGGAAGAAATGCCCTCCGCCCCATTTTCTTTCTAAATGCTGAGCAGGATATACTTCTTGAATTCAGAAATACCTTCATTTATATCCTATCCTTACAAAACCTAGTAATATCTCATTATAGGACCCTGTGCTTTGAGCTGTGCTGGTGACTCTGGAAACATAAAAAAGGCCTTGCCTTCGGGCACTGTGCACAGGCCCTGAAACATCACCTTTGGCTTCCACTTGCTTTGATTAATACTGTCTTCTCTTCTAAGTTGTTGTTGTTATATGCTATTGAGTCATATGTGACTCATAGCGACCTTATACAAAATAGCTCTGAAACCTGTCCTATCCTGAGCCAGTCTCACTGTCTCAGACATACCTACCCCCATTACCCTAATTACTGTGTCAATCCATCCAAGGTCTTCCTCTCCTGGGCTGTCCCTCTACCCTTCTAAGCATGATGCTCTTCTCCAAGGACTGGTCATTCCTGGCAACATGCCTACAGCATGTGAGCTGGAGCTTCAAAAACCTTGCCTCCAAGGAGCAACTTGGTATCAAGCCTCTCCAGTACAAGCCTGTTTGTTCTTTTGCCAGTCCATAGAGTATTTAACACTCTTCTCTAGCACCACAACTCAAAGGTATCAATCATTCTTCTGTCATCCTTAGTCATTGTTCAGCTCTCTAATGGGCAGCAGGTGATTGAGAAGGCCATGGCCTAAATCTGGTGCATGTTAGCCTCTAGACTGACATTGTTGCTCTTCAGCACTTGGAGAGGTCCCTGACAGCAGATGCACCTTATAGTCCAAACAGCCCTGGAAAGGTTTATCCCTGATTTAATAATGGATGCCTGAATGGGAATATGAGTTAAATCCATCATCAGATATCTTGTGCTACATCAAAAGTGGAGCATTAAAAAAATAATAGTGGAGCATATAGCAGTAAAGAGGTGGTGATTCTCTCTGTTTTCCAAATCAAGGGAAATTCTCTAGTGGTATGTCTGTAGCAAAGTGTGCTGTTAACTAAAGCCTGCACATGTAGGTGATTCACACCTTCCAGGCCCTAGGCCATCTCCTCCTGTTAAAATTGACCAGAGCCAACTTGACAGCAGTGAGTTCCAAAAATAATATCATTGCCATTAATTAGAATCATAGTGATCTTATCGGGCTGAGTAGAACCCCTCCATCAGCTTCTAAGGCAGACTGTTCCATCTGGAGCAATTGGTGGGTTCAACCTATCAATGTTGTAAAACTATCCACGCTTTAGTTAGCAGCTGAGTGTTTCACCTCCACACCATAATCCTACTTCAGTCAGTGTTAATTAGAGTTCTATTGAGTGTGGTGGTAACATCGGACAAGATACTTAGTGTATGCAGAGTGTCCCAAGGAGACTGGCCCGGATATAAGGTGACGTGAAGCCACAGCTGTAGGAACTGGAGATTTGATACCTGGAGAAGAGAAGGCTCCCAGGACCCCAGTGACCTGAAGAACTGTCTCCATTTATATGGACTTGAGCAAACGAGTTCTCTCTTCTCAGAAGATCTACAGCTGTCACCACTCAAATTCTGCTGTCAGGGTTCAGAGGCTGTAAATCTTTATGGGAGGAAACTGTACCTCCTTTTCCCAAAAGGAGCTGGTGGATTCAAACGGCTGACCTTTTGGCTAGTATTCCAATGCATTACGCACTATGACACCAAGGCTTGTATGTCTGCTAAATACAAAAAGAGAGGCCTTCTGGACATGGAATAGGATGTGTGTAGAAGTGATGAGTTCTCTGTCACTAAGATACACATATAGAAATTACTAAAAAGATTTGCAGGGACTGGGCTCAAATCCATGTGTTGGAATTTCCACTGGGCATCTTGTAATTTCCGCTGAGGGTCATAAGCTTAAGCTGCATGTTACCAGATTCCCTGGACTCTAGTCATTGAGTCTAGAACTCAGGATCACCTTGTTAACCAGATCCCCTTATACCCAACCCCAATCTAGGGATGCTGGCCAGCCAGGCCTTACTCTGATATTCTACTTCTTCTTCCTCATTTGTCCTCAGGGTGAAGGCCAAGAAGGGGGTGACCCTTCTTGGCACCAAGTCACGGAGTGGCCAGTGGCACGTGACCTCAGAGCTGCTGACTGGGGCAAAGCACTCCACAGCCACTGTGGATGTGGCCTGGGCTCCGGGCACACCTCTGCCTCCCAGGTGAGCCTGATGGCGCCCATGCCCACCTCTTTTCAGGATAGGCACTTGAGAAAGGTGGGGGTTCTTGCTGAAGGTAGTTGGAAAAAAACTCCAAGGAGCCCAGCCAGAAAGGTTGCCAAGGTGAGAAGGGGTCCCCACTGAGGGCCTGAGCCTTCTCCCAGACATTCAAACACAGCTCTCCTTCTCCCTCTACCTGCTACCGACCCTCACCACCCCAACAGGGAGGGCCAGGGACCCCTGGAGATCCTGCAGCTGGACTTTGAGATGGAGAACTTCACCAGCCAGTCGGTCAAGCGGAGGATCATGTGGCACATCGACTACCGTGGCCACGGCGCCCTCCCGGATCTAGAGCGGGCTGTCACTGAGCTCACGGTCATCCAGAGAGACGTGCAAGCCATCCTGCCCCTGGCCATGGTGAGCACGTATGTGCATGTGGATGGGAGAGGGGGTCAGGGATGGTGCACCTGCGCATGTGCTATGCCTAGAGCACTCCAAATGGCCGGGCAGCATGGGACAAGCCCAGGGCTCCTTGAATGGCTGTAGGTAAATGTGTTGGATGTTAGTGAGTCCTGAGGACACAGCAAGTTTTTGACATAAGATAGGCGGCAGAATGGAAGTAGTGAGTGGACTCTGAAGGGTGCTCAGAGTCTGGGTGACCAGGTCAGCTAAGCAAGAGCAAGAAATCAAGTAAGCATGTGTCCCTATGTGTGTGTGTGTGTATGCGTGCACACGCAAGAGAGAAAGAATATTGGTGGGTAAGACCTGCACCCGAGGAGGGAACATCCTGAAGTCAGGGTCTTGGCCAGCATGTTCCAGAGAACAGAGGACTGTGACCCCAACTTCCACCCTTCTCACAGGACACAGAGATCATCAACACAGCCATCCTGACAGGCCGGACAGTGGCCATCCCTGTCAAGGTCATTGCCATTGAAGTGACTGGCCTGGTCCTGGACGTCTCTGCCCTTGTGGAATGCGAGTCTGACAATGAGGACATCATCAAGGTGGGCTTCCTGGAGGCAGTGCCCTTGGGGATAGGAAGTCTCTGACCTCCAGTAAGAGATGGAACCCCATACCAGAGGGGAATTCACATCCTGGGAAGCTCCCCTGGTTAGGTAAGAAAGAGATGGGGAGGGAGGGATGAGATGGACAAAGAGTAACTGTGGGCATCTTGAGTTCAGCCTAGGTGAAGTGAGAGAAAGCTGTGGGTACTGTTCCTGCCAGCCCTGGAGGGCTTCCTGGAGGAATGGGAGAGACTGTTGGGGAGGCCAGCGGGGAGAAGGCAGTAGTTGCATAGTTTATTCCAGCTCACGGCAATCCCGAATATGTCAGAATAGAAGTGTCCTGTGGCTTTTCATTGGCTGATTTTTCAGACAAGGATTCTCAGGCCTTTCCTCTGAGGGGCCTCTGGGGATCACTAATCTTTGGTTAGCAATAAGCAATGTCAACCATTCCAGAACTCCATCCAGCAAGGGATGAATGAGCACCTGCTGGGTGAGAGACTCTGGACCAGCAAGGGGACAGGTGAGGGGCATGCACCTTTTAAAGACATGCTCAGAACCCAAGGGGATAGTGACTGAACTGGGGAGACCACACTGAGGGAGCCTCAGGAAGCATGTGGCTCAGGCCAGGACTGGAGGTGATGTTAGAAGAGCACGTTCCAGTTGTTACAACTCCTGCAGTTCTGCCCAACAGTGAAGCCCCCCTCAAGCCCTGGGTCCCTCTGGGGGTCTCCACACTCATCCAGCAGCCCTTGGGTGCTTCCTCTGCTTTACATAGTGGCCCATGATGATCTAGGAACAGTCGGCAGTAAAATGAACCGCAGTATGAGGAAGTTCAGCCCTGGGTACCTGTGGGATGGAAAAGCTGTTTTGTCTGCTGGTAGCCTCCAGCAGACCCCAGTCAAGGAGCAGGATGAGATAATCGATTCCTTGTTCTTATGCACAGTTCAGCTGCAGGAGAGTGGGAGGTGGTGGGTGTGGGAGTCCTTGTCCCCCCTGTCCATTGGACTCTCATTCCCACCATGCTGGGTCTCTTGACTTTCTCTGGGTCTGGGAAATACAAGTGTAATTTCACCCATCCTTGATCCAGGAACAGTGTCCTTCATGTGAACCTAAAGCTGGTTCCTTATATACCCCACTGCCCCCTTCAGAGCAGGTGCCGGACCTCACCCTTTCCCTTGCTCGCGGCTGGAACCTGGAGATACAGGCCTGCGCTCAGGGATCTGAAGTGGTAGCCCCTTTCCTGGCCACCCTGTCTCCCTTCTCCAACCCAGAGCAAAACAATACAAAGTCACAATGACTCAGATATCAAAGGGAATCGGTGGCGATGCTAAATGGAATGTGTTACCATCCTGAGAGAAATACAGTCCAATGCTTTATGGAGTTTGCCAACATTATAAATGGAATGTGCCAGCCTTCAGATGGAATTCTGTGCCTTCTGAAATGGAAAACAAGTCTTTCTGGCAAGGATACCGTTCCCATTCCCTCCACCCATCCCTCTGAGATGATGAAGGGCCCTCACAGATGTGGAACAGGTCAGGGCCTCACTCTGTAGATGACCCAGTGTCCCAGCACCTTCCCTGCCCCCAGGGCCACTGGTGTATTATCAGCACATGGACTGCACAGCCCGTCAACACAAAGACCTCACATGGGCATGCACCAGCCAGTCCATGCAGGTTAGGGGGAAGGGCAAGTACTGGCAGGGCCACCTCAGTGAGTCAGCAGACACAGATGTCCACCAAGGCATGTTCAGAGGCATGTGTCCATCCAGGGAACCTGCAGCAAGGCGTTCTGGTTTCCACGGGGATACGCAAATGCCACATTCACTGGTGGTAGCTGTCAGTTGGTTGTGCTTGGGCTTATGTGGCTCAGTTTTCTCCTCTCTCCTGCCCCTCACCCCACACTTGGCTAGAGCTACCCCCTAACCTGGACTTAACTGGTTGCCTGCTGTTCTGGGGCAGCTCTGCCCAAGGGGACATGAAGGGACCACATCCCTCCCTACCTTTCACCTCCATCCTCCCACTGAGTGGAACCTGCTCAGGGAAGCCCACTCCTCCTGGTTGCAGAGGCCTCTCCCTTTCAGACCCCTGGAGGGAGAGCTTGCCCGGTAGTCTGGCAAGTCAGAAGCAACTTCTGGTGAAAACATTTGTACTCTGGCTCTACGTCAGAGAATGAAAAGCCAATGTACAGTAAAGTGGACTGGCAGGGGGGTGTCTGTACAACAATGAAAGAATTTTTTTTCAAAGAGAAAAGCAAACTGGAGGTGTGGGCAGAGAGGAAAATGCAAGAATGAATGAATGAACATCCAAGTTCTCTATAACCTTGCATTAAAATCTTAATTAAAAAAAAGAAAAGCCAATGCAATGGCCACTGAGAGACAGTCTTTTAGAGAGATGGGAGGGAAGCAGAAAGGGAAACACTGAAGCCGATGTCTGCCAGAGGAATTAGGGGCCATCTCCCTCCCGATTGTCACCCCTTTCTGGCTCTGCCTGTTTAAATGAAGTCCCCAGCACTGCCCATAAGAAAACCTGTGGAGTAATACAAGCCCACTGTCCCTCCCCTTCCCCAGGTGTCCAGCAGCTGTGACTATGTGTTTGTGAGTGGAAAGGAGTCCCGAGGGTCCATGAACGCCAGGGTCACCTTCCGCTATGATGTCCTCCAGGCACCTCTGGAGATGACGGTCTGGGTGCCCAAGCTGCCTCTGCACATCGAACTCTCGGACGCCCGCCTCAGCCAAGTGAAGGGCTGGAGGGTACCTATCCTCCCCGACTGGAGGTACACTCACAGGGAGCATGGGAGACGCGTGAGTGAACACAGCTCAGCAGTCTGATCTGCGTGTGTGCATAAGGCCCTAGTCGGCAGTCCACAGGTCAGTTATTGAGCAACTACTGGGCACTGGTAGGGACTTAAGACAGAGAGATGAGGTTAACAGGGCCTGAGCAGCCAAACTCTTGGCCCAGCATGGAAAGGGAGTCCTGTGTTCACAGAAACGAGAGCCACAAAGAAGTGAACCATTCCCGCCTCCAGAAGTCAAGGCAGGCTTCCTGAAAGAGGTGACTCTTGAGCTATGTGTTAAACAAAAAACCAAAAACCATCGAATCAATTCCAACTCAAGGTGACTCCACATATGTCAGAAGAGAGCTGTGATGCACAGAGGTTTTCAGTGGCTGGTTTTCTGGCAGCAGTTTGCCAGGACTTTCTTTTGGGGACCTCTGAGTGGACCAGAACCTCCAACCTCTTTGTTAGCAGCTAAGTGGTTTAATTGTGTGTATCACCCAAGAACTTGTGAAACCTTAGAGGACTGGTAGCATGGACTGGACGGGGAGCCAAGGGGAGAGAACAGTCAGACTGTCAGGCCAGACACCAACACAGATCACACGTGTACCCCAGGGACCCACTCATGTGTACATAATTCCAGGTGCCCAGTGATGCACAGCGAGGCTTCCTTGCTGGAATACAGCCCACTGCATTCCACTCACCCACTCAGAGCAGCTGGAGAGCTGAGCCTAGCCGGGAAGAGAGGGAAAGTAGCAAGCAGGCAGCTGAGAGCAGAAGGGGGCCTGGCTGGAGAGAGAAGCAGGTGGCAAGACAGACAGGCAGCCAAGTGAGGTTGGTGCGTGCATCAATTCAACAGAGATTTGGAAAAGTAAGGTGGGGTAGACCAGAGCCTCTCAAAACCTCAGCATGCACACATCACCTGGGAATCTTATTGAAAAGGCAGGTTCAGATGCGGTGGCTCTGGGGCAGATGCCGCACATCTGGCCAGCTCCCACATGATGTCCATGCACTTGCAGTAGTGATACTCTAGTGGACTCCAAAGGCCAAAACTTGTGCTCTAATCCTAACTGCTACTGGCTAGCTGTATCCAAGTGGGATACTGACATAGCCTCTCTGCGCGTTAGTGTGCTCATCTGTAAAATGAGCATAAAGCACTCACTTCCTAGGATAGTTGTGAGAACTGAATTAGCTAACGTCTGACATCTCCATCCAGCTGAAGTATAAGCAAAAGCTGACCTGCCACACTCGTCTTTCCTTTTAGAGTACTTCCCCGACAGTACATCCCCTAACTTTTATCATCTTTTGCAATCTAAATAGGCTGAGAATTTCCCAAATCATCAAATCCTGGCTCCTTTTGGCTAAGCACTTTCCCCTCAATTTCTCCCTTTCTTCTTGCATTTTACTCTAAGAAGCAAGAAGAAACCAGGGTGCATCTTTAGCACTTTGCTTGGAAATCTCCACAGATAAATATCCAAGTGCATTGCCTACAAATTCTGCTTTCCACACAACTGCAGGACCCGATTCAGCTAAGCTTTCTGGCTCAGAGATAAGAAGGATTGCCCTCCCTCTGGTTTAAGGCTTACACAGCGCAGCGCATGCGCAGTGATGGAGAGATGGTACTTGTTAGCAACTTACACCTGACCTGGGTTAGGCACAGCAGAGGCAGGAAGGCGACCTGGGGGGGTCAGGACAGGTCTGGCACAGGCAGAGGAAGGAAATAATGAGGAGGCTTCACTCTGCAGAGCTTCCAGCCATGCGTAGCTGGGGAGAAGCCAGCAGGACCAAGGAGAAGGAAACTGTTCAGGTTCCAGCTAGGGAGAGAAACCTTCGACCCTGCCAGCTCTGAGTCCGTTCCTCCCTGCCCAGGTCAGCCCGGGAGAATGAAGAGGAGGAAGAGGAGGAGGAGGAGAGACGGCAGAGCACGAGCCGGGGCTGCACTCTGCAGTACCAGCATGCCACGCTGCAGGTCTTCACTCAATTCCACACGACATCGTCTGAGGGCACAGACCAGGTGGTCACCATGCTGGGCCCAGACTGGCTGGTGGAGGTCACTGACCTGGTCAGCGAATTCATGCGAGTGGGCGACCCTCGAGTGGCACACATGGTGGACAGCAGCACCCTGGCAGGCCTGGAGCCAGGCACCACTCCCTTCAAGGTAGGCACAGCTCTGCTCCAGCACCAAGGACAGCGCCTGGGAGTCCTGGTCACACGCAGTACCAGAACACTGGTGTTCCTCAGAGTCCCCAGAGTCTCAGTCTTTGAGAGCAATGCCACCTTCCTCAAAACACACTTTAGACCTCTTTGAGAGCAAGTGTGGGTAGAGGATGGGGTACACTTGAGAGGGCTCAGCAAGCTGAATGAAAACCAAACATCTAAGATAGTGAATGGAGCCCCTGGGCTGGAACCTACAGGCATCTGTAAAATAATTGAGCCGACCCTGAAAACTTGGGAGGTTCCTTATATTGAAAAGCATACCTATTACAAATTTCTACAAACATTCAATCTGGCAATACTGAGACCACAAGTCCCACCTGGCAACAATCACTGGAGTCAATATTGGTGCCCCCTTTACACGGACATTAAAGCTCCCAGTTGCCACAGTGTGCGCTGCTCCCTTTCATCTCTCTGACCCCGAGGCTCAGTGACAATTGCTTTTTATCCCCACAGTGGGCTGTCATCTCCCCTGAAGTCTGGCTGGCTCCTCTGGTTCCCTGGCCCTTGAATAGCTGGGTCCTAATTCCTGGTTTCAGATAGAATGTGAAGTCTTGCCCCCCAGCCTGCCCCACTCCTCTGAGCTCCTCATCCCACAGGCCTGGGATCCCTCCCTGGTGTCTGGGAGGTGCAGCTGCTTTCCTGGCTCGCTCTTACCTCTCTCCACTCTGCCTCAGGTGGTGTCTCCATTGACAGAAGCTGTGCTCGGGGAGACACTGCTGACGGTGACAGAGGAGAAGGTCAGCATCACACAGCTGCAGGCCCAGGTGGTGGCCAGCCTCGCTCTATCCCTGCGGCCCAGCCCTGGGAGCAGCCACACCATTCTGGCCACCACGGCCGCCCAGCAGACTCTCAGCTTCCTTAAACAGGTAATAGCCTGCCAACCAGAGAGGGTGGGAGTAGAAGGATTTGGGGCTCTGTTTTCCCTCCTATGAGCCCCACAAATTAGGGCTTTACGCAATAAAAGAAGATCTATCTGGTGGTCTAGTGGTGAGAAGCTGCACTGCAGTCCGAAAGGCACGTGGTTCAAGTCCAGATGGGCAATTTACTGTCTCTGAAAACCCGCTGGAGGATCAGCTATGGGTTGGTTCTGGTTCAACAGCACACAAAACAAACAAATTGTGCTTTCTAGGCTGCACACCTGCCCCACCCCGTCCCCACTCCATCTGTACTGGGAGTCTGCCTACAGTCTTGCTTGCTGCGCTTGTTACCCTGAGATGTTCCTACCGAGGGTCTCCCTCCTGGATTTCAGAGAGCCCACCATCTCTGATCCCTCTCACTGGCACTCAGAGTCCCAACTACAGACACTATTGGTACACCATGGCCACTGGCCACAGGACAAAGGTGGAAAGACGGCAGGTGGGAGCCCTGGGAAGTGAGAAGGCAGGCGTTGAGCACTGAGCCAGGAGTCAGGACACAAGGGTCCTTGGTCACTGACTCACTTTGTGACATCCACACCCCTCCCCCTGGCAGTCACCTTCTGGACCCTCCTTCCCCATCTGAGAGGAGAGCAATTATCCAGTTTAGGCAAATGAGGTAGAGCGTAGAGGTATGTAATCTCAAATCTCCAAAGATCTAATGAGGGGTGATCTCAAAGCCAAGCATGGAGAAGTGGAGCAGTGCTGCCAAAGGAGAGCCTTCCGCAGGGCTGAAAGCAAAGCTTCCCTTCAGCTCATCAGGGTGAGCGCTGAAGTGAAGAAGGAAATTCTGGGGCTAGTGTGCCTAGATGTCATAACCTCCACACACCTTGCAGAGAAGTATGTTCACTGAAAAGCAGGAAGTGCAATCTGTCCTTCCAGTTCATCTGTCCTTCCTGCGCTCAGGATCCAGTGGGAAGCCAGCCAAGACTAGGTCTCTAACTCCTGTTTCTCCTCTTCCTCCAGGAAGCCCTTCTGAGCCTCTGGCTCTCATACAGCGATGGCACCACAGCCCCACTCTCCCTCTACAGCCCCCGGGACTACGGGCTGCTGGTGAGCAGCCTGGACGAGCATGTGGCCACGGTGACCCAGGACCGCGCCTTCCCTCTGGTGGTGGCCGAGGCCGAGGGTGCAGGGGAGCTGCTCCGCGCCGAACTCACCATCGCCGAGAGCTGTCAAAAAACCAAGCGCAAGAGCGTGCTGGCCACCACGCCCGTGGGCCTGCGGGTCCACTTTGGGCGGGATGAGGAGGACCCCACTTATGACTACCCGGGCCCTAGCCAGCCAGGACCCGGCGGGGGCGAGGATGAGGCCAGAGGGGCAGGCCCACCGGGCACCGGGGTTTCCCCTGCAGAGGGCCTGGGCCTGGGCACGGCCAGCCCAGCCATCCTGCCCACGGAAGACTTCCTGCCGCTGCCCACGGGCTTCCTGCAGATGCCACGGGGGCTGACAGACCTGGAGATCGGCATGTACGCGCTGCTGGGCGTCTTCTGCCTCGCCATCCTCGTCTTCCTCATCAACTGTATTGTCTTCGTGCTGCGCTACCGGCACAAGCGCATCCCGCCCGAGGGCCAGACCAGCATGGACCACTCGCACCACTGGGTGTTCCTGGGCAACGGGCAGCCGCTGCGGGTGCAAGGGGAGCTCTCGCCGCCCCCCGGCAACCCGCTGGAGACTGTGCCCGCCTGCTGCCACGGCGACCACCACAGCAGCGGCAGCTCGCAGACCAGCGTGCAGAGCCAGGTGCACGGGCGCGGCGACGGCTCCTCGGGCGGCTCGGCCCGGGACCAGGCCGAGGACCCCGCCAGCTCACCCACCTCCAAGCGCAAGCGGGTCAAGTTCACCACCTTCACCACGCTGCCCTCGGAGGAGCTGGCGTATGACTCGGTGCCCGCCGGCGAGGAGGACGAGGAGGATGAGGAGGACCTGCGCTGGGGCTGCCCGGACGTGGCCAGCACCACGCGGCCCGCCCCGCCCCCGGACCTGCACAACTACATGCGCAGAATCAAAGAGATTGCGTAGACGCGCCATCAGGGTGGCTGGGGGGAGCCCCCCACGTGGGGCTGCTCCGAGTGCGATGGAGTCGGAGCTCTTCGGGTCACGCCTGTGCAGGCCGGTGGAATCCGGTTTTATACGGCCGGGCCCTGCAGCTTTGCTCTGTGCCGGGTGGGGCCGCCTCGTGGCTTGTTCCGCCTCACACCGTTGCCCTCTTCTGCCCCCTGCAGGCGGAGGCGCCTTCCTCCAGCAGTTTGCAAGGATGAAAAGGAAACCTCCAGCCCTTGTTCGGACCCTTTTCCAAACCTCCTCCATCCTGGGCAATCCTCCTGCCCCCAGAGTGAGGCGAGGAAGCCAAGCTTGGCGCGAGGCGGACCCACACTGTGCCCCTGCCCCTGCCTCTCATGTTTCCTGTTCCCCCTGTGCCGGGGAGGGGGGGAACCTGAGGGGGTCTTGTGTCACAGGCTGCACAAAGACTTTTTCAAACCAATATTCAGGGATTTCTGTCCTGCAGGGTTGGGAGGTGGCGGATGCCTGCCCTGCCAAGGATCTTACTGTGGACGAAACATTTGGGGAGGTAGAGGGACAACTGTAACATCTGTTACATCCCCATGCTCCCCACACACACACCCCGGTCCTTCCCAGCACCTGCCGGCTGACTCTAAAGAGGAGTTTAGGGCCAAGCTGGACTCCATCCTGAGTTCTCAGGACTCACTTCTCTGTCCCAAGGGCTGTAGTCAGGGTCCTAAAGGGAAGGAGGCCTGGGTCCATCAGGGACCGCGCCACACCCCAGAGCACCAGTGTCTGGACAGATTCGGAGAGGGTCTGGGTGCCTCCTGCTGACCTCACAGCAAGATGAACACCAAGCCTTAGCCACCTTTCCACTCTGCTGACCTCTCCTGCCTTCCGCAGGGGGGCAGAGGAGACAGCTGCCCCATCACCCCACAAAAGAGGATCTGATGGGAGGGGAACGAAAGACACCAAGGAGTGCTCTGAGGGACCTTGGGGTGGGCAAGGGCCAAAGGGAGCCCAGGCGTTGCCCCAACTCCCATCCCACAGCTCAGTTTCTCTCGGGTTCTACACACCACTGTGTTGGATTTTTCTTAAATAAATGGAGGCAACCAGACTGGGGGTGGGGGCAGCAGCTCCCAGAGAACGGACAGTACACATGGCTACCGGCTCTGTGCTTTCTTTATTTGCACAAAGGTGTATGTGAATCATGTATACATTTGCACACACCTGCGCACGCACACACAGAGCACATTAAATGACAGGCTGAAATGCAATGGAACAAGCTTTGGTCAGCTTTTCCTCCCTCAAGGTTTCGGTCCCCTTAGGCCCTCTGTACTCTTAACAAAGAGACACCTCCTTTCGAATCCACCAGATGCTCTGCCGGAGAAGGAGGCGTAATATCCTCCTGTACCAGTCAGATCTGATTTGACGGTACACGCACGCAAAATAATAATAATAATAAAAAACCAAACTTAAAAAAAGAAAAAGAAAAGAAACACCTCCTCTCGGAGTCTGTAATGATTGGCTCAAGGAGGAAAGGGCAGACAGCCTTGGGTACTCCAGAGAAATGCTTGGTGTAGAGGGTGCTTGAAAAAGAAGAATGTGAAAGAAGATTGGTGTGTGCACCCCAAGCATCACTTCCCTGCTCTTAGCTTCTGATCACCCTCTCTCAAGGAGGCCTCCCTTTTCTTCTCCATAGGGCTCATGGATAGACCTTCACTAAAATAGAGGCCAAGACAGGGATTAGTCTGCCATACCCACAAGGGGGAGGGGTCTCCACATCAGAGAACCAGGCAGGTAGGAGCCCAGGCAGATTATACATGCTCTTCCACACCAGTGGACCAGGCCAGCAGGTATGGAGCACAAGATGTCTGTAGCCCCAAAGACCACTCCTCATCACAGACAGCCCCCCCAAAGCAGCAAAGGAGTCCAGGCACCAGGGAAGCTGCCTTGGGCTGCCTGTCCAGCCTCTGGGACTTGTAAACAAGCAGGAACAACATCTGTCCCAAGAGGAAACCTAGCTTCGACTTTGGCTATAGCTAGAAGGACATCATGGCACATGTCCATCCCAGAAGAAATCCTGGCATCCACTATCATTCTTGCCCTGGGATTTGTAATGGGTTCAACAGCAGACAAAGCACCAGTCACAGACCTAGACACAGCAGGGTTCCTGTGGTGCAGCATGTTATTTCCAGGCTGGGCAGGGAGTGAAAGGCAGGCTAGAGATGGAATAGCTCTGCCCAAGATATATCTGGGAGCAAAGGGTCCATTTACATAGAGGGAGAAGGCTGATGGGAAAGCTGTGCTCAGAAGCATAGGGAGGTTTCGAGTGGGGGCGCTCATTGGGGTTTCCAGGATACCAGACATCTGCTGTTCAGATAGGCCTTGATGAATATTTCCTGGTTAGTGTTCAAAGTTAATATGCACAGATCAAATGGCCAGAGGTTTGATTCCTCATAGAGGTGAATTAGAAGAAAATTCTGATGATGCACTTCTGAAAATATTAGCCATTGAGAACCCCGTGGAGCACAGCTCTATTCTGACACACGAGTCAGCATCAACTCAATGGTGAATGAATTTTTGTATAAGCTCTCAGAGTGGCAAAGTCTCAGTCTTTTTCCCCTTTTTAAATTAATTTTAATGAAAGTTTACAGAGACTTTGGATTTCCTTTCACTCATTGTTGCACTTTTCTCCCTGCCCAACATACCCCTCAGTTCACTCTTTGAAAAGTAAAAAAAATTCTTTCATTGTTATACAATCCCTCCCCCACAAGTCTACTCCACTATGTAGCCTTCGTTTTGAAAAGTAAAAGAAAAATTCTTTCATTGTTTTACAACCCCTCCCCTCAAGTCCACTCCACTATACTGCCTTCATTCTGGACTTTTATCATGACAATAATACCTAACCATATATCCCTTTTAAACAGTTCTCTCCCTCAGCTGTTTCAATGCAGTAAACATAATTTATCCCATCTTTCTCAGTCTACCCCCAACCCTGATATCAGTCCCAATTTACAACAGTGGCACTATGCAGTATTTGTTCTTTTGTTGCTGAGATATTTCACTCAGCATCATGTCCTGCAGGGTCACCCATTTTGTATACTATTTCATGAGTTCCTTGTCTTTCAATGCAGCGTAGTATTCCATTGTGTGAATATACCAAGAGTTTCTCTATCCATTCATTTGTTGATGGGCACTTAGGTTGTACTGTGTATAATGTGGAGTGTCAAAAGAACAAACAAATCTTCCTGGAAGGAAGTGCAGCCAGAAGGCTTCTAGGAGCATGGATAGATAGCAAGACTGTATCTCACGTACCAAAAGACTGTGATGCAATCCTGCAGGTGTGTGATTCAAATCCACCAGCTGCTCCCAGGAGCAATCTCCTCCCATGCAATTAAGTGCTTCTGAAAACCTGCTGGAGGCCAGCTATGGGTCGGTTCCAACTTGATGGTACACAACACAACACAACACCTTGGACATGTTACCAGGAAGGCCCAATCCCTAGAAAAAAGATGTTGTATTGGTAAAGCTCAGGCATCCTAGAGGCAAGAAGCTGTGCTGCAGTCAATCCTAAAGACTTGTGGTTCAAATCCACCAGGAGAAGACTGGGCAATCTCCCATGCAATTAACTGTCTCTGAAAACCCACCAGAAGGTCAACTACGGGTTGGTTCTGACTTGATGATACACAACAACAACAACAGTAAGGTAAATGTCAGTGAAAAAGAGGAAGACCCCTAATGAGGTGAACTGTCACAGTGCCTACAACAGTGGGCTCCCGCACAGCAGCGATTGTGAGGAGGACATAGGAACAGACAGTGTGTCATTCTCTGGTGCAGAGTCACTGTGAGTTGGGAACTAACTACTTGGCAGAACCGGGAAGGAGTCGTGATGGCATGGTGACTTTAGCATTTAGACTTCTAACTGAAAAGGTGCCATTTAAATCCACTAGTCATTCCTGTGATTGCTGTACAGAGGGAGCTCATGGTTGCTGTGATGCTAAACACTGTGACACTGATGTGTCAAATGCGAGAATAGTTACCCATGGTGGACAGTGTTTTTGGAGTTTCCTGGTTAAATCAAGCTTGGAAGCTGGAGTGGCATCCACTTCCGAAATAGCTTGCCTCCAGAAACTCTATGAACATGGAGAAACAACAAAAAAAGAAAAAACAAAATACAAGTGTTCAGGTCTTCATTCATAGAGTTGCTATGAGTTGTCTACAACTCGACAGCACTTAACAGCAATAACAGTCATTCCTGCACTGCAGTCCCAAAGGCATACAGTTCAAATCCACCAGCAGCTCTGTGGGAGAAAAATGGGCAGTCTTCTCCCATGCAATGTGTTATGTTGTTGTTTTTATGGGCTGTCGAGTTGCTGGCGACTCATAGCAACTTATGTACAACAGCCCTAAAGCCTGCTCTATCCTGTGCCAATCACGGTGCCTCTGACACACCCATCACGATTACCCCAGTCACTGAATCAATCCACCTCATAGAGGGTCTTCCCCTCTTGCGCCGTCCCTCCACCCTACCAAGCATGATGTCCCTCTCCAAGGACCTGTCCCTCCTTTCAACATGTCCAGAGTATGTCAGATGAAGCCCCAGAATCCTTGCCTCAAAGGAGCAGCCTGGTTTAACCCTCTTGAGGATGAATCTGATTGTTTTCTTGGCAGTCCATTGTACATTCAATACTCTTCTCCAGCACCACAGCTCAAAGGCATCAATTCTCCTTCTATCCTTCCTAGTCATTGTCCAACTCTCTGATGCATAATAAGTGATTGCAAAGACCATAGCCTGTATCAGATGCACCTTAGTCTCCAGAGTGACAACTTTGCTCTTCAATACCCTAGAGAGGTCCCTAACATCAGACTTTCCCATCGCAATATGTTTTTTTTTTTTTTATTTCCTGACTACTGGTGCCAAGAGTGTTGACCGTGGAGTCAAGCAGACTAAAGTTGTTAACAATCTCAGTTTTTTCACCATCCATCCTGATGCTGCCAATTGGTCCAGTGGTGAGAATCTTTGTCTACTGCCTCTAAAAACCTGCTGGAGGTTCAACTAGGAGTCAGTTCCAACTTGACAGCACACAACAACATCATTCCACAGGAGAAAGATGTGGTAATATGTCTCTGTGAAGAGTACAGCTTTCAAAACGCTACGGGACAGTTCCATCTTTCCTAGAGGGTAGCTATCAGTGAGAATGAACTTGTTGGCAGGAGATTGGGGTTTTCGGTGTTGTGCCTGGCATAATGCCTAAAACTATTAAGTGTCCATCAAATATTTGCTAACTGAAGGCTAAATGCAAACTAAAACGACTTTTCTATATCCTGCATTTGGGTCCTCTCCATATTTAGCACCTTATCATTGTAGTAAATCATAAGTTATTATCCCTTTGAGGGCCTTATAAGAGAGAGATGAGAGGAAATGGGTAAAAGCCAAGGAAGGTTATCCCAGCTTGGCTTACGTGTGGACTGGGACATATACTATGTTAAACTTGGAACGTAGTTCTTTTTCATTCAGCCCACAAAGCTCTTACCTGCAAGATTTTTGCTGGGAAGCCTGGGAGGAAAATCCAGGAGACTTCTTTAAAGTGCTGGAGAGAAAAGATGTCAGTTTAAAGACTAAGGTGTGCCTGATCCAAGGTAGGATATTTTCCAATTGCTTCTGAAAGGTGGCCACTGAATAAGGATGACCAAAGAATTGGCAAAGACACATTAGAATTGAGACGTTGGTGAAGAGTATTTTGAATATCTCACAGACTGCCGAAAGAACAGTTATCTGGGAGGAAGTGAAACCAGGGTGCTTTGTTTTTATTTTTATTTTTATTTTTCTTTTTATTTTTATTCATTTCAATGAAAATTTACAGAGACTTAGGGTTTCCATTCATTCATTGTTGCACTTTGCTCCCTGCCCACCCCTTCCCCCTGCCAGTACAGTCTTCTCTTTGAAAAGTAAAAGAAAAATTCTTTCATTGTTTTACAAGCCCTTCCCCCAGGTCCACTCCACTATGCAGCCTTTGCTCTGGACTCCTGTCATGACAATAATACCTAATCTCATATCCCTTTTAAACAGTTCTCTCCCTCATCTGTTTCAATGCACTAAACATTATTTATCCCATCTTTTTCAGTCTCCCCCCAACCCCGATGTCAGTCCTG